CACTAGCTGATCTTCCAGAGGTCTGGAGTTCAATTCCCAGCAACCACATGGTAGCTCACAACCATCTGTAATGAGATCTGGTGCCCTCTTCTGGCACATAGGCATACATGCAGACAGAACACTGTATACATAATAAATAAATAAAATCTAAAAAAGAAAAATCGCCAAAGAGGGTGGTGACCAAAGGCTACATGTGGGACGGGAAGCTTGGTGAATGGGTCAAAAGTGAAAGTGGAAGGCAGGATAAGGTGTGGCATGCCACACCACCATACAGATGTTGGTTAACAACAGCATGACAGTTCAATCGTGTCAGAAGAATGCTTTCTAATGCTGCTGCCACTGAACAAATAGCTTATGTGTAGACATGCTACTCACACTGACTCAGTTATTACCCAGAGTGTCTATTTAAAGAAACATCACAAGACTGCACAATTGTGTTAAATACAAATAAGATTTGGAATGGAGAGCGAAAGGGGAAAGCGGCCTAGTTCCTGGGAATTTATTTTTTCCTGGTAAGGCTGGTAAATCCTTCAGCAAAGGTAGTTGAAGTGCAAGACCATGCACAATTGTCTTCCCTTTCCTCTCTCTCTCTCTCTCTCTCTCTCTCTCTCTCTCTCTCTCTTAGTTTTTCTGTGTAGTTTTGGTGCCTGTCCTGGATCTCACTCTGTAGCCCAGGATGGCCTTGAACTCACAGAGATCCTCCTGGTTCTGCCTTTGGAGTGCTGGCATTAAAAGCATGTGCCACCATTGCCCAGCCCTTTTCATCACTTAATCAGTAGTTTGTGTTCTTCCATAGTTTCTCTGCTTTCAAATATCATCCATCCGTCCATCCATCAATCCATCTGTCTGTCTGTCCATCCATCCATCCATTCACCCACCCATCCATCCATTCACACACCCACCCATCCATCCATTCACCCACCCATCCATCCATCCATCCATCCATCCATCCATCCATCCATCCATCCATCCTTCCATCATCTAATTACTCTCTATCAATCATCTATCATGGATCTATCCTCCTTTTTCTCCTCTCTCTTCTCCCCTCTTCACCCCCCCCCCCCGCAAATCTCTGCCTCCCTCCCACTTTCTATGGAAACAGAACATCTTTATTCCTCAACTTGTTTATTGACAAAAATGGCTGACAGCGTTCAAAATATTGACCGAGGAGTGTTTTAACAGAAAAAGAATCAGTACAGTACAAATTAAACTACCTGTATATGTTGTAGGTTGTTCACCTGGTTTACTACCAAAATGAGAGCTCTGAGTGTGAGGTCTAGATAGGAAATTTCCTACCAACTCGTACCTTACCCTCCAGTTTTTCTGAGTCCCCTGACACACAGCAACACTGAGATCTATGAGCCAGAGCACTTGGCTGCCTCCAACAGAATAACTGCACATCTGCAGTGACTGTGATTGATGTTTTATTGTTCAAACGCTCTCACTTTAGGTACATAAACTTAAAGCTTTCTTCCTTAAATTACTGTCAAGTATAAACATTATAGTAACATATGTTTTCCTTTTTAATTAAAAAAGCTCCAATATACATACATATATATGTGTATGTTTGTATCTCATTTCTCACTCCTAGGCATATAATATTCACTTTTAAAACCAAAATTATCATTTAACTTATTTACGAAGGAGAAAAATAGTAATGTTGCCTTTTTAACCATCCAGGTGTCCTATCTAAGGGGTGAAACTAAATTAGACCTTCCGGTCCAAATGCTAATTATTCTGGGTGTCCCCAAATGGAAATACCAAGTCCCCACCAGCTTGCTGAGAGCAGCCCACGGTTTCTCTGTGAGCCTGCAATCACAAGGAGAAAGTGAGGAAGACAGGGAACGCAATGGGTGACTATTTCATGTTGCCGTCACCTACACTGCCCGCACACTCCCCTTCTCCCTCCGAACCTCCCCACCTCCTTCCCTGCATTGCTCGTTTTAATTAGTAGGATTTGTTAAGACAGTCTGTTTCAATTCCCTTTGAAACAAAAGAATTCTTTTCTCAAACACTGTAATTTTCTTGTCGATACTGAAAGGAGCTGGTGGCAGTCTGCTCTAATTATTTTATGAGTTTTTAAAAGACAAATTTGAAAAGTCTAGGGTGTGCTTATGCAACAGAAGGTTATGGCGTATTTTCTGCCTGAGACAATCTTTTACTCCAAAAGAAACTAAGTGTGTGTGGCAGTATCTTGCACGCTCCTTCTCCTCTAACTGGCTCTGTACAGAAAGTAAACACAGCAGTCAGGAGTCACACTTCCAAATCGTTATCTTGGTGCCCTTCCTGGTCCTCAGCCATGAGGGCTGCATTGTCTGTAAAAAGTAAAATGCTACCTTCTATTGTACACTCTGTGTCATCCACTCCCACGACATCACTTACGTTTTTGCTCAATATTGGCAAATATTTTGCTCAATAATGGCAAATATTTGATTCTTGGTTTCTTATCCCCAAGAGATTTATCTATCCATTTTCTCAGAGTTCAGCAAGCATGTACTGAGACCTAGTATCTCACACACTATGTGGCTGGTGAAATGAAGCAACACAGCTCTTACCTTCAAATGGACAAAAACCTAAAGATAATTTATCAGTACTTAAAAATCCCAGAAGCTACAAAAATTATTATTTCATTTCTGAAACTTCCTTCTTCATCATGGAACCTTCTAGATTACTTAGATTTGCCAAGCCAATGGATTGCAACATTTCATGTAGAATTTCAATGTTCTAATTTTCATTTTTTATTCTAATAGATAAAGGTATAAGTCTTACACACACACACACACACACACACACACACACACACACACACATATATATATATATATATATATATATATATATATATATATATGAAGGGGATATGTCATCTATATGTATCTCTGAAAGGCCTAAGCACTGTTTGACCAATGAAGACTTTGAAGCCATCTTCATTGGATGAAGGAACTCACGTCTAATCTCAAATTGAGGGACTCTACCAGTTCAAGTCTGATCTCTGTCACTGTGGTAACACTGGGACAAAAAGCAAACTTGTGGTGATATATTGTGCACCCCAATATATTGTGCATCCTAATAAACTTATCTGGGGTCAGAGGACAGAACAGCCACTAGATTATCTATACAGAGGCCAGAAAATGGTGGCACATACACCTTTAATCCTAGCATTCTGGATCTCTGTGAGTTCAAAGCCACACTGGAAACAGCCAGGTATGGTGACACATGCTTTTAATCCCAGGAAGTGATGGCGGGAAGCAGAAAGGTATAAAAGGCATGAGGATCAGGAACTAGAGCCTTTTAAGCTTTTAGGCTTTTAGCAGCATTTCAGCTGAGATCCATTTGGATGAGGACACAGAGGCTTCCAATTTGAGGAAACAGGATCAGCTGAGGAGTTGTCGAGGTGAGGTGTCTGTGGCTTGTTCTGTCTCTCTGATCTTTCAGCGTTCACCCCAATGCCTGGCTCCAGGTTTATTTTTATTAATAAGACCTTTTAAGATTCATGTAACACAAACTTGGAGAGGAAATGTTTACTTTCTCTTATGGATACAGTCCATCATCAAGGGACATCAAAGCAAGAACCTACAGCAGAAACCTCAGAAACGTGTTCTTCATCGGCTTGCTCATGCTTGGCTCTCCTTTTTATTACAGCTCAAGCCCACCTTTCTGGTGATAGTCCTGCCCACAGTGGGCTGGGTCCTCCTACATCAGCCAGCACTCAAGCCAGTGCCCCATGGACATGCTCACAGGCTAATCTAATCTGGCAGTTCCTCAACTGAGGTTCCCTGTTCCCAAGGGAGTATAGTCTGTGTCAAGTTGACAGTAATTGCTAACCAGTCCACTATCATAAAATTTGATAGAAAACAGATAGAGGAACTGAAAAACAAATGCACAGAGAAGATGGCAGAGAGCAAATCTAGGTAGGGAGACATGGAGAGACATAGCGATAAACTTGTGAGAAATACTTGAGTACATGGGCAATGTGGAAGAGGAAGTAACAGGGAGAATGTGTTGCTCACTGGCTCGCCCCCAGCCTCGTATTCTTACACAGTGCAGGTCCACCTGCCTAGGGATGGTGCCACCCACAGTGAGCTGTACCCTGTTACATCAATGAGAAATCAAGGAAATTTCCCCTAAAGATGTGCCTGTAGGCCAATCCAACATGGACAACTCTTCTACTCAAGTTTCCTCTTCCCAGGTGGGTCAAGTGGACAGTGAGATTAGCCACCACAGGGCCGGTGCGGCACACAGGAGAACTTACAGGTCAATTGAGTGATCACGCCTCCTGACACAGCCTGGTGATCTAGGTGGGCCCTTCCACCTCGCCCCTGGTGATGCGATGTAGACATGGCCCTCCAAGATGTCTCAACTAGCTGGAACTATCTCAGACAGAACAATTCCATCTCTCAGTGCTAACTCTGGGGGTGTCTATAGAAGGTTCCAAGTTTCTTTGTTTTACTAAAACCTGTAACTTGTTATATTTTTCCAAGCAATATTTATTTGGTTTCTAACTCTAGCTATCAAAATTTTTATTTGGCAAACACAGTAAGATCATGCCTTTTATATGCCAGGGAGGATTTTGTAAGAGCACTTTACAAATAGACAGTTTTCTCATACTCTTATAAGACCATTTTGAGTTTGCAGAGCAAACAGAGATTGAGAAATAAAGGGAAGAGGTAGAACCAGGGGCAGATTTAGGCAGCCACAGGTCCGCTGTCTCCAGCAGCTTTCAGCCAGCCGTCTCTCATAGGAAAACCCACAACTGGATCTCAGAGGAGAAAGGGATACATAGTCATTTAAGGAGCAGTTGTGAGCTGGACAGTGGTGGCACATGCCTTTAATCCCAGCACTCGGGAGGCAGAGCCAGGTGGATCTCTGTGAGTTCGAGGCCAGCCTGGTCTACAGAGCGAGATCCAGGACAGGCACCAAAACTACACAGAGAAACCCTGTCTAGAAAAACCAAAAATAAAAGAAGAAGAAGAAGAAGGAGGAGGAGGAGGAGGAGGAGGAGGAGGAGGAGGAGAAGAAGGAGAAGAAGTAGAAGAAGTTGTGTATGTGAGTATGAGTGTATGCCTGTGAGAGCACCTGTGTGTGTATGTGTGTGTGAGTGTGATGACAACTATGTGTGTATATACATGTTTATGAAAGTGAGCATGTATGTGTGTATACTCATGTGTGTGTGTGTGTGTGTGTGTGTGTGTGTGTGTGTGTGTGTTTACAACATATATAGTCCTACAAGTAATTCATAGTGACAGTAGAAAACAGAATGCAGGCATTCTTCTAACAAGATAGTGTTCTAAGAGCTTGAATTCTTGGGGAAAGTAGTTGACCTGAATGGAAGAACTAAGCTTCCAAGTCCAAGGCCCATGTTCCCCCCACACTGCCTCAAGGAGAGCCTATACTCCCAGAGTTAAACTGTCCCTCCATGGTGAGATTTTTAGATTGACTCAGAGTTGCGTTAACCTCATCCCTTGCACACTCTACTCTGTGCTGTTGTAGATAAAAGCAAAGCTCCCCTGATGATGCCTTTCTCCCACTAAATGTGCCACAGCCACTTACAAACCCATTTTGGTGCTATTCTTATTCTTGAGGTTTGTTTATTTGCTTTTTAAAATGTATTGCATTGTCTTACTTTAAAAAAAATCTTCAATAAAAATAATTGCAAGGAGGTGGGAAAAAGATCGATGACCTGTAATTTATATTTCAATAGAGAGACTAAAATAAGCTGCTTTTATTTTTGATTTAGCTTAGAGGATGGTTTTAAAGCCCTCTCTTGACAGCTACTACAACCCTATACTAAAGGAAGAACTGCTGGGGGAAAATTCTCACTCTCCCAAAATATCAATAAAATGAGCAAGAAAAATTAGCTTCACAGCAGGCCACTTTAATGAGACACAGAAGCAAATTGGACAAGGCGGATAATACGATGCCTTTTGGAATATAATAGAGAATAGAATTAGTAAGTATAAAAGAAGACCCATCAATGTAGAATTCAAACTCCCAGGGAGGGAAGCCAATCTTATAAGGAGCCGGGCAGGCAGACATGTGGTTACAGGTGTGGAGGACACACTCAGGGATGTATTTATGTAGATGGATGCAAATGTGTCTGTTATATTATTCTATGCTGAGTCTGGTGTGCTTTCAGTATTGAAGCCACAGCAAATACACATTATTACTACAACTTGAATTTCCATGACAAATAAAAACAGGGCCTGCTCAGCTCTTAAATGTAACCCAACACTCCCCAAGTGGAGGAACTGACTCCTTTCAAAGAGATAATTACCTTCATGAGCCTACCAAAGAGCTTCTTATAGTGAAGAATATCAGCCACATAAAAATTAAGAACATATTCATGATTATAAAGATATTTTTCAAGTAAGAGAAAACTTTAATTGGTTATACAAACTTTTTGCATTCCCCTCTTTGGAAATGAAGGTACCAGCTGTAACTGCATTCTTTAAAATCGTGCTCACCTTTTAGAAAATTCCATGAAGCATTTTTTTTTAACTCCTCAAGAGAAAAAAATACGTTCTGAAAAATATTGTCAGAATCCATCATTGTTCTAAGGCCCAAACTACATCTGAAGGCTCCGGGCCGTGTCCTTAAAACCTCACGATGCTACAGTCAATTCTCACTTCCAATCAGTTCCTCAGAGACAATTTTTAATAAGTGATGTTTCAAAAGAAACCATTACACATGATTGTTTGGTTAATGAATTGTCTCCACAGTGTTACACAATACTGCCACAATTTTATCTGCCACTACTGGGATCACACCCAGGGCCTCAAGCATGCTAGGGCAAGCTCTCTCCTACTTAGCCACATCCTGGGCCATCTTGCTACACAATTCATTAGGGTAAAATATAAATGGTTTGCATTCTTCACCTGATGTAGCCAATATTTAGCCATTTCATACATTCTTCATCTGGCATTATACCAAAAAGAGTTTGACAAGAAATGAGAAATATTAAAATGTACTAAAGTCAGAATAGGTTGCATTTGGGTACCAAGTATGATCTAGGCAAAAGGACTTCACTAATTCCACTATAGATGTATAGGAAGCTACAGATATGACTAACGTTGCTAAGCTATGCTGTGTCCTCACGCTGCCACCATGGTCAAGGCCGTGCACATATCCCCAGGAATTTGGAGCACTGGTCAAGCAAGCTGACAGGTGGGCAATTGTGTGATCCACAGAAAGCATCCTGGGAAAATGGTGACAGAAGCTCCGAGGACATCTGAAGACAATAGCATTCTCAGAGGGCAGCCATATTTGAGAGGTTGTTCCCTGACCCCGTAATCCCCCCACAGTAGCTTGTGCCAGAGTCCCTGGGAAAGGAAAGACAAACATGAAACAAAAAGGCTGTTTATAAAACTCATGGGCAACATGAGAACAAGGAAGGTCTCCTTAGCAATGTTCAGACCACAGGGAATCCGGGAGCAGAGAAGAGTCAGGCCCTGTCTGCAGGGAGAGCCTAAGAGGGCAGGTGACAATTCCACACCAGCCAATAAAAACGAGGAGAATGCCGCACACACCACAGCTGCACTCGTGTGTGAGGAAGGACAACCCGCAGCAAGTATGCTTCTCCGGGTACTGAAAATCCTCTTTTACCTTCATAACTACACAGAGGCAGGCTGTGTGTGTACTGTCCAAGCCTGTCACGTGACTTGGCTGGTGCCATTCTTACCCCAACACTCATCTCCTCACATATGCACAGGCTTAAATCTGAGAGATAAAAGCTGAAAACTGGTGAAGGTGTATGGAAAAAAAAGAGGCTATGCATTTTCCAGGGAGCTTCGGGGAGGAAGCCACAGGAGAGGCTGTAGAGGGAAGGGGTGGGGGTGGGGGTGATGTAAATACAGTCCTCATATAGGAAATTAAAAAAATAAATTAAAAAAGGAAAACTTGGATTTGACATGCTCAGTAAGTTATGAGGCAATGGAGAAAAGCAAGCAAGACATTGAGTCAGCTTGCAAATGCCATCCCCGGGGAGGTCACAGAATAGTGCCATTTGAATGCCTGGTGGTGAGCGATGGAGGACGCAGCATTAGGTACTCTGGAGGCATTAGAGAATGTTGCCCCTGCCCACACAGATGGAAGAGGAAATGGCCCCCTTTAAGGAAAAAGTGAGTCTTGAAGAGAGGAATGTTTCTGAGGTTTTCTAGAGAGGAATTCAATTTTGGGGGAAAGGAGCAGAATGTGAGAAGGACATTGAACGAGAACAGAGTACTGGGAGATTATGACTGCTAGAGAAGTGTGTGGGTGTGGAGTGTGCATGTGGGTACATGTGTGGGCATGTGTGCGAGTATGTGTGTGAGCGTGTGTGTGTGTGTGTGTGTGTGTGTGTGTGTGTGTGTGTGTGTGTGGACATGGCCAGTGACATGGAAATGGAACAAAATCCTGGCCCCAGATACATGTTATATGCTGGTATGATCAATACTGTTAACTTGACACAGTCAAGAACCATCTAGGAGACAGAGCTCTAGGCTTGTCTGCTGAGGGAAGGTCTATGTTGAGTTAAACCTAGGTAACTCTAAGCATAAGTGGCACTATTCTATGGCTGAGGTCCAGGACTCAGTGAGAAAGAGCAGGCATGCTGAGCACATGTACACCTCACTGCCCGCTTTCTGACTGTGGACGTGTGACCAGCTTCCTCCTGCTCCCTGACTTCTGCACCAAGACAGACTGGGCACTCCAACTGTGAGTACAGACAAACCCTTCTTCCCCGAGCGACTTTCCTTGGGAATTTTGTCACAGCAATGGGAAAAGGATCTACTACGTAGGCTGCACTACATTTGGATGTAGGAAATCCTAAAAGGGCTGTTATGGTTTGAATATAAAACGCCCCCAGGCTTACAGGCTTAAAGTTGGTCCCCAGTTGGTGGCACTCTTTACGGAGTTTGTAGGTATTTCAGGATGTAGAACCTAGCTACAGGAAATGTGTTGCTGAGGAACAGACCCTGAGTGGTCCAGCTTCCTGTCCTGAATTGGCTTCCTGATGTTCATGGACTCCAGCAAGCAGCTCACGGTCCTGTGTCAGCCCAGCACCGTTCCTATTGCCAGGGACTGCTCTGCCGTGATGGTAACCTTGCTTCTCTTTGGTGACAGCAAGGAGAAAAGGAAGCAGTATGGAGCCCCAGAAGGATTTCAGGCTGTGAGGTAAGGTGGTCACACTTGTTTAGCTACTTTCAGCCCTAAGGGATAAAAGGGAACAGGCAAAGTCAGCAGCGAGGTCCACAGTTCTTAGACATAGCCCTGGGCTTCCCTCCTGAAGCAGAAGGATTCAGGGGCCACTACCATCTGTACTGCAAGGACAACAGGTAGTTCTAAACCCACATAAAGTAGAAAAACGTGAACAGGTCCAATACCATGCAGTAATGTATGCCATGTAGCATGTTATGGCTCCCTCTGGATGAAGCACTCTCTCATGTAAGGTGGAATGAGACTCATAAAACTCCCAAATGATCCCGAGAGTCCAGGGTGCTTGGCAGAGGGTCACAGCAGTCAACAGTCACTGGGGGGAGGAGACTCTCCCAAGGTGGAGCTGCCTGCGAGCTGCAGAGGGGATACAGGGACGGAGCTCCCTGAGTCCTCTTCCGGCTGGAGTGGGCTTCCTGGTGATGCCACTCCCCAAGTCACCCAAGTGCCTTATCACTTCACCAAGCCAGATGTGCCTGCAGTTGTTTCTTTGGTCTGTGGGAGATGTTCTACTTGAGGTGGATGGATCTCTTGAGGAAAAGTCACTCAGCACCGTGGAAATAGAATTTTCCCAAAAGCATGAGAAATTTCATCAACTCTGAGAGAAAGGGATTCTCTATCTTCATTCTCAAGCCCCCCACAGAACTTTATTAAAAGCACTCTAGGAGTCTTAATAAAAATTAGGGGCTTCCTTGTGAAGGCTCAATTTATATTTTAATTTGCTATAGCAGTTATTAAAGAATCTAAAAGCATGAAAGAGAACGAGAGAGCGTGTATATGAGAGAATTACGAGAGAGGGAAAGAGGAAGGGGGAGAGAAGAGAGGGAGGGAGAAAGTGGGGGAGAGACTGGCCTATGCTATTCACAGCCATACCTAGATGCTGTCTGTCTCCTGTTCTCCCCCACCTCAGCCGTCACCCCATCCCACCTTCCCACACATGTGTACACTTGAGTTCTGAGCCATAAATCTTGCGGAGTCTGTCAACTGACAGCCTAATAGCATGAAAGGGGTATCTGCAAACAAGATGGTCTCAAGTCGCTGCTCATGACCCTGAACAAATCAGGGCTGAGTTCCCTTTGCAGCTGAGAGTTGCCCCTTTAATCACTTAACTGGGCAGATTGATGTGATGCTTGAGAAATAAACCTAGAGGTCTCCATTTCCCTGCTATCTACGGGTCTCATTTACTCTACCCTAACAATTAAGTCGAACTTGTCATATTTTGAGACCTAATCAAAGTATAAGTGAGGGGCAGCTGATAAATCAGCCTTCACTTCTTGGATTAGTTATTTGCAAGGAATGTGATCTTTCCCAGCTTTCTACCTGGTAACCATTGAGAAGTATTCAAATAGCAACGTGGAGAGGTGAAGGGCTATGGCAGTGGCTATCAATCTTGGCTGTACAAAGGATGAACCATTTTCATTGGACATCTGTTGTCAGGAGTGAGGGGCATTTTTATATTTCTCTACAGTTTTTTGAGCTCAAAAGCAGCTGCACTGATCAGAATTTCTGAGTGTGTGACCCAGGCATTTTATAAATATCCACAATACATTCTGATGTTTGACCATCATTAAGAATAAGCTGGTATCCCTCTGAATTATCTATATTCTACCAGCTGCAGAAAATGGTGCTCTGTAGGAAATATCCAGCTGAGGAAGAAGGCCAAAGTGTGGACTTAAGGGAAACAGCACACCCTCCCAAGTTAGAATCCTGGGAAGCAGGACTCAGAAACTTAAGTTTAAACAAGTGTTAAATAGTTCTTAGATTCACGACCTCCAAAAATAGTTATTCATATTTATGTATTTATATTCTTACAGGTGTGTGTGTGTGTGTGTGTGTGTGTGTGTGTGTGTGTGTGTGAGAGAGAGAGAGAGAGAGAGAGAG